ATACAATATGCGTCCAGAAATTGCCTGTGTGCCGAATGCGTCAATGTAGGAGTTTGAAATTGAATGCAGCACGCGCGAGGACGTCTACAAGGCTGTGCGCGCTGTATTCGATAACGAGCAGGAGATGGCAAGCCTGTCGCCCGAGGACAGACACCTGGTTGAGAGGATCGAGCGGGGGTATCGCCGTCAGGGCCTCCTGCTGCCGCCCGAGAAGCGCGAGCAACTGAACGCCGTAAGGAAGCGCATCTCTGACCTGGAAATCGCATTTAAAAGGTGCGTGAATGAGGAGGATGCCAGGGTCCTGTTTACCCGCGAGGAACTGGAGGGCCTGCCGGAGGACTACTTTGATGGGCGCGAGATGGAAGACGACGGCGGCGTGTCCAAGTATGTCGTGACGTCAAAATACCCGGACTACTTCCCCCTCATGGCGTATGCCACGCGGGAGGCCACGCGCAAGGCAATGGAGGTGGCTGCCGGAAGCAGATGCCCAGACAACATCCCGCGGCTGCAGGAGCTGGTCAGTCTGCGCCTGGAGATGGCCACGCTTCTTGGGTACCGCACGTACTCTGAGTATGCGATGGAGATCCTCATGGCAAAAAGGCCCAAGGACGCAATCGCGATGGAAACCGATCTGCTCGCCAGGCTGGCCGGTCCGGCAAGCGAGAAGCTCGACGAGCTGGTGGCGTTGAAGCGGAGCGATGCAGAGCTGGCTGGCGAGGAATATGAGGGGTTTTACGTCTGGGACACGGCATACTACGGCCGCCGAGTATCTGAGCAGAAGCACGACATCAGGGGAGAGGAAATCAAGCAGTACTTTCCGCTGGACAAGGCCACGCGCGGCATGCTGGACATTTACCAAAAGATGCTCGGTTTGCGTATTGAACAAGTCGACAACCCGCCCGTGTGGCACCCCGACGTCGCCATGTACGAGGTGTGGGAGGCGTACGAAGACACATTTGTCGGCCACTTTTACCTCGACCTCCATCCGCGCCAGGGAAAGTACAACCACACCGCTGTGCTCCCGATCAGATTCGGCTGCGAACTTCCCGATGGCTCCCGCGAGTATCCGGCAGCTGCAATGGTGGCCAACTTCACCCATGCCACGTCGGCAGCACCGGCACTGCTTCCGCACGGTGATGTGGTCACGCTGATGCACGAGCTGGGCCATGTGTTCCACAACATGTGCGCGCACACCAAATGGAAGCGCCTCCATGGCTTGCAGGTCGAGAGGGACTTTGTCGAGGCTCCATCACAGATGCTGGAGAACTGGGCGTGGGAGCCAGCATCGCTGCGCAAGTTTGCTGCTCATCACAGCACTGGCGAGCCAATGCCAGACGAAATGATCGCCAAGCTCATCACCGCAAAGAACGCGGGTGCAGGAGCGAACTGCGTGTCACAGGTGTTCTTGGGGATGTACGATCTGGCCATCCACAACACGACCAGCGGGGGCATTGATGTGGACAAGATGTTCAACGACATGAGGGACCAGATTACCAATCTGGGAACTGGCAGTGTCGAGACGCACAGAGTCGCCACATTCAGCCACACGGCGGGTGACTATTCGTCAAGGTACTACGGGTATATGTGGTCACGGGTTTACAGTATGGACATGTATGCGTCGCGCTTCAAGAAGGACGGCGTGGACAACGCAGCGACGGGGATGGACTACCGCAGAGAGATCCTGCGTCCCGGGGGCAGCCGCGACGCCATGGAGGGCTTGGTGCGGTTCCTTGGCCGCAAGCCGGACAACAAGGCCTTCCTCGAGTCCATTGGTCTGCGCGTCGACTAGCACACTCTGGCAGTTCCAGCATCCCTTTTCAGCTGCTGATGCGCATCGAGTCTAGATTCGCGCCGTGCACACTACAAAAGCGTTGCTGTCGTGCCTTTTCTAAGCGTGCACATACCGTAGTAGCCCAGGGCCCACAAAGGGGGCCGCAAAAAGGCGGCGCGCCTGTGGCCGGCTCCTTGTGTAGGGCGGGGGCCACCGGAAATGAGTTGGCGGGCCCCATAGCCCGCCGCGGGCAAGGTGCGATGGCCGAGTGGTCTAAGGCGCTGCGTTTAGGCCGCAGTGGGCAACCGCGTGGGTTCGAATCCCACTCGCATCACTTTTTTTGCTCTGCCTCGGTCGCGTGCGCTCCGCAGCAGATCAATTACTGAACGATCATCGGCGTGCTGCTGGGCTGCTTTTGTTGTCGCGACCAGCGCTGCGGGAGAGGAGACGCGCTTCTCTTCTCTGCCTGTGTGCGCGCGCTGCCCTGTGTATTGCTGTCTGGTCGTCTGCCGCTGCGATGGGAATCAAGGGGCTCAAGCAGGTCATCGCGGACCGGGCGCCGGCGGCGCTGCGCACGGTGGAGATGCCGCAACTGGTTGGGCGCAAGGTGGCGATTGACGCGTCCACGTCGCTCTACCAGTTCCTGGTGGCGGTGCGCAGCGAGGGCCAGAGCCTGGCGACGTCCGAGGGCCACACGACGAGCCACCTGATCGGGCTGCTGTACCGGACGGTGAGCATGGTGGAGAGCGGGCTGAAGCCCGTGTACGTGTTTGACGGCAAGCCGCCAACGATGAAGGGCGGCGAGCTGGAGAAGCGGCGGGAGAAGCGCGAAAAGGCCGAGGCGAGTCTAAAGGAGGCGGAGGAGGAGGGCAACGACGACGAGATCCTCAAGCAGTCGAAGCGGCTGGCCAAGGTGACGCCCGAGATAAACGACCAGGCGCGGCGGCTCCTCACGCTCATGGGCATCCCGATCGTCACGGCGCCGTGCGAGGCCGAGGCGCAGTGCGCGGCGCTGGCAAAGGCGGGCAAGGTGTGGGCGGCGGCGTCGCAGGATATGGATACGCTGCTGTTTGGCGCGCCGGTCCTGCTGCGCAATCTGACTGCCCCGGCCGCGCGCAAGCTGCCGATCGAGGAGATCCGGCTGGAGGAGGTGCTCGGTGGGCTGGACTACACGCTCAATCAGCTGATCGACCTGGGCATTGTGCTTGGGTGCGACTACTGCGACTCGATCCGCGGGGTGGGCCCAAAGTCGGGCTACGAGCACATCCGGGCGTGCACGTCGATCGAGGAGGCAATCAAGCTGGAAAAGGTCGCCAAGGGCGTGCCCGAGGACTGGCCGTACACGGCGGCGCGCGAGCTGTTCCGGAATCCCGAGGTCGTGGACCAGGCCGACGACTTTGTGTGGGGCAAGCCCGACGTCGAGGGGATGGTGCAGTTCCTCGTCGGCGAGATGGAGT